TGCACTGTTTTGCATCCTCCTCATAAAATTATGCACCATCTGATAAGACGTAATAAGAACATGCATCATTTCTATGATATTCATGCCAAAAATGCACAGCCTTGATCTAATCATGAAGAACTATCAGATAACCACAAATTGAGGGACATTATTCTACATAACTGGCCCATTCGAACACTTCAAAAAGTCATAAAAATGAAGGAAAATGTACAGAATTGGTCCAGGCTCTAGTGGCCTAAACCAATTTAACACTAAATGTGATGCATCATTCTCAATCTGATCCTATTGTACTAAAAGACACCACAGAAACTCATGGTGAAATTTAGATGGGGTCCAGGGATTAGACGGTGGTCATTTTGTGACGTTAATGTCCTATTTGTTCTAATTTTTTTTTTAGAGAGATATTTTTGCTGTAAGGCACACACGCTCGCCAGACACACAGAGAGATATAGAGAGATAGAAAGTGAGAAATCACCTCCTCCCCCCACCCCCTCCGAGGGGATGGCCATGCTGCAATCCCTTCTCCATTCTCCCCTCGAGATTTTGGGGATGCACACGTGCCTACCACGAGTTTCAAGCCGCTGAATCTGGAACTCAAACCATGATCAACCATGTGAGAGTTCAGTGACCTAACCATACTCTATCTGCTGGTCCCAATGTCCTATTTAATGAGTGTATTGTATTCTCCCAAGAAACATAAACCAAACTTTTGGGATTAAAGGAAGCATCATATTTCAGCAACTTTCTCAAAACGACTCTGAAAAAATTATACTAGTCTTGCAACTTTTCTTTAACTTAGAGATTATTTTAAAATAAAGAGATATATTTTAAAGTTTTAGGCTACTATTTTTATTAGTTTCTAGTTTAAATTTCCAGCGATTTGGGGAGAAGAAATTTAAGGAAAAAAATATAAATTCTTATTCCCCTTTCTTATGCAAAAATAGTGTATTTCACTGTGTTCTGCATTCCTCCTTTGAAAAAAAAAAAATCTAGAGACCAACAGATGGCATAGCAGTTAGATCACTGGATTCCGATCACACTTCAAGTCCCAGACCCAGTGGCTTGAAACTCATACTGAGCACATGTGCATGCATACCCAAGATCCTAGGAGGAGAATGGAGAAGAAGGGGTTATGGCATGGCCATGTCCCCGGGGGGTGATTTCTCACTTTCTCTCTTACTATCTCTCTCTCTGGTGAGCGCATGCACCCTAAGTAAGGCAAAAAACCTCTCAAATAAAATAAAATAAAAGTGTATATGGACTGAAATACTGGACTGAACTCACTGAAATACCTGCTGCCAATTTTCTGCTTGAAATCTGGAGGGTGACAGGAGGGGGTCATCCTTGGACCTTCCCTTCCCTTTATTTCTGTGATGCAATTGCCTCACATTACACCTCCTTCACAGCTGTCATTGGTATCCTCTCCTCACCAAGATCTCATTTCATACCTGAATTATTCTAATAGCCTTATAATTGGTCTCTTTGCAGCCACTCCTACCGTCTCTGAAGTCAAAAGCCAGGGGCCTTTCTATAATTTAAATCTAAGCCTATTTCCTCTTCTTGATTCCCCTTAATGCATGAAAGGTCTTTTCCTGGCTGGCCATTTTTTTTTTTAAGATTTTTTTAAGTTTTTTTTTTTTTTTTTTTTTTTTTGACCATAGGGCACATACACTCACTGGAGAGACAGAGAGAAACAGAGAGATAGTGAGAAACCACACCCCTCATCCTTCCCTCAGAATTTTCAGCATGCATGCACACATGCCCAGTGTGAGTTTTAAGTCACCAGGTCCAGGGCTCAAACCACGGTCGACTACTTGTGAGTCCAGCAACATAATTACTACACCATCTGCTGGTCCCACCTAGCTGGCCTTTTATACCTTCTTCAATATCTTTATCTCTACTTCCCTCATCTCCACCTCCAACACATACTCTTTTCTCCCATCCAACATAAAGACATGTAGTTCCTTTAAACATACTATGTGATTTTATTTTTAAGAGAGATTTTTGCTATAGGCTGCACACACTCGCCAGAGAGACAGAGAGAGAGAAAAAAAAAAAAAGAGAAATCACCCACACACATACACACTGCAGTCCCTTCTCTTCCATTCTCCTCTCGGGACTTTGGGTATGCAGGCACACATACATAGCATGAGTTTCAAGTCACCAGGTCCAGGACTCAACCTACAGCCAGCATGTGGGAGCCCAGCGTCTTAACCACTACGCCAACTGCTGGCCCCTGTTACTTGAATTTTTTTAGTTGTATATTTATTTATTTGTTCTTTATTATCTGTTTTCCTTCACTAGAATATAGGATAATGAGAACGGGAGGCCTGTATGTCTTATGTATAGCAGTATTGATGCATCTGGAGTGATTTCCTGACACCTGAAAAGCACTTCCACACAAGTTTTTGATGGATTTATTAATTAATTAGTGTCCTTGTGCCTCTGTACTTATTGTTGCTTCTAGTTAAAATGTCCTTTCCTATTGTGCTTTGTGACTTAAATATTCTTTCTCTTCTAAAATTCAATTTAAATAAAAATTCCTCTAGAAAGATTTTACTATAATTTCCTTTCCTTCCCCTACCACATGCACTCACACACACACACACACACACACACACACACATGCACACCTAGGTTTACGTGTCTTCTGAGCTCCCATTACAACCTCTCCCATGCATGAGTGTCAGAGACAGTTGGCTGTTGACCAAAGACAAATGCTCCCCCCATCCATAGTGCAGGATTGTCGCCAGAAAGTGGCTGCCTAACCATGGTATTACATGGGCCCGGGATTACTAAACTCTGATGAATTCTTTCCAAACCTGACCCAAAAAATCTTCTATGAAACATTCCAATGTCCTCTTTCTTCAATCTGCTGGCTGTTGCAGAGGATGCAGAGGCTATGAAAATTGTTGGAGCCATGTGAAGATTACCTGTGAAGCACCCACACTATTCCATAACACATGAGGGAAACATCTATGATGCTAAGCCATGAGGTTCTGGGGGCTATTTGTTACAGCAGCTGATCTACCCTAACTTACACATCACACTGCAGTGCAGAGTATTGTCACTGTTAGTATCTGTCTTCTTTGTACTTAATGTTCCTTTAGGTAAGTCACTTCTCTACATTACCAGAGCCTGGTGCAGAGTCTGGCACATAACTGTGTGCAGGTAATATGTCTGGAAACTGGTACATGACTCCAGAAAAAAGGAAAAAAGAAAAAGCCAATCCTTGGTTTCCTCTCTAACAAATGTTCTCCCATAAAAGCCTCTGGCATTTTTACTACAGATAAGTTCTCACATGTGATGTTTTACCTTGAGTATCACTTGGACCTCCTCTACTCTACTAAGAGGACTCACCCATCCTGCCAAGGACCTCTGCCTTGTGGATTTTATTAACAGGTGGTTCAGCTATGCAAAGAGCTCGTGGACTAGAATTACTTTTGAAAGGGCAATCTATGCCTGTGATTAATTCTACCTTTCCTTGCAATGCTTTGTTTGTTTTGCTTTTAAATAGCTCTTGATTCCTGTTAAAAATGAAATACATGATACCTAATTTCTCTTCTATCAAACCTAAACTAGTCATTACTGATTTGGAATTTGATGAATTTATCCTGGGGATACCTATATTTAATTGAGATCCTAAAAAATGTAGGTGGTAGTTCATTACATTTCTGAAACAAAGAATAAAACTAAACAAAATCTGGAATGTAAAATAGAAATGGACTTTTCAGTCCTAAAATAGTGCCCCAACACAAACATCATCTTAGTCCGTTCTATCCTGCTATATCAGATATATTATCTATTTAAGACTAGGTAATTTATAAGCAACAAATTTTTTTGTCTTTTGGTTCTGGAAGCTGGGAAGTCTAAAATCATAACAAAATCAAGTCACCAGCAGATTAGGGCCAGATCGCTCTACTTCCAAAATTGCACATTGAATGCTACAACCTCCAGAAGGGAGGAACATGCATCCTTGCATGGCAGAAGAGAAGAGGGGGAACCCATTCCCACAAGCCCTTTTTATAGCAACATTAATCATTTATGTGGGTGAAGTCCTCATGTCCTAAACACCACCCAAAAGGTCACACTTCCCAATACAACTGTATTTGGGTTTAAGTTTCCAACACATGAATTTTGGGGGGAACACTTTTAGACCATAACAGGTTTCTCATTTCCATCTGAGACCTCACTAGAATGGCCTCACCGTCTGTCTTACTCCACTATTGCATTGCTAACAGAAATATCTGAGAAAGAGTGATTTATTAAAAAAATAGAAGTTTATTTGACTCATGACTCTAGTGACTGGAAAGCCCAAAGGAATAAGGCTGACATCAGGTTGGATACACCATAACATGACTGGCAGGACAGAGAACAGAGGGGTACATGCATAAAGAGACTGGGAACAGAGATCTTCCATTTATAACAGCCTGCTCTCACAAGAACTTAGCCTTTCTCAAGAGCTAGAACTCACTGGGTCTTTTAAGACAGCATTAGTCCACTCATGAGGATGATCCAATCCTCCACAATCCAATCACTGCCCACTAGGCCTCACCTCTTAAAGGTCTCATCACCTCCCAACACCATTACACTGGGTTCCAAAACATGAACCTTTGGGAGACAAACCATTATCTAACTGGTTTCTGTGGGCTACTTTATTTCAAACCAACTGCTTTTTAATGAAATGTTGAACTCAAACATCTTAAATTCAAGATGACTTCATTGCATCTAAAAAACTATGATAGGAAAAGAAATGACAAGTTCTCACACTAAAAACAAAGCAGAAAAAAAATAAAAAGGATGGTAAGTCTCTCCAAAAGTCATATTACATGTTGGTTCAAACTATGCAGCTTGATTGACATAAATCTCTCTATCACCCTTCAAGTGTTGTCAACAGATACTCACTTCTCTGCATTCCACACTCTGGCATATCAGTTCAGGGAAAAAGGCATAATTATTTTAGCAATTAAGCCTACCAAAATAAAAGATGACTTATAAGCCAGCAACATGGAAATTGGATTTTGAAAGTGTTAGGACTGGAAGACTTGGTAAAGAAAACACCAGAGGGAAAAAGTGAAAGAGAGAAAAGAGAGAGGTGAGCTCCAGGACTACAAAGAGAGAGGACTGGGAGGAAGGCTGGGTCTGACTCTCTGATGACTAGAGGCTCTCATGGCTTACTCACTTGCTTAACAGTTCACATTTTCATTAAATCTCTCAGGTCCTGAAAAGTCAGCACTGATAGGACATGAGATGCGGGTAAGCAAATATCCATATTTTTAAGCAAACTCAGAAAATGTATAAAGAGTGCTGCTATTGCCACTAACATCTAGCTTCTCCTTCTACCTCTGGTTACTTCCTAATGTTTTCCTATATTCAAATGTGTCAGAGCCTCCCCTATGAGGCTCTGCTTGATTAATTCTTTTTTTCCTCCCTCTGTGCTCAGGGATCTAGAGAAATCTGGCAAGGCCAGCTCACCATTTGCTAATGCCCTGACCTAGATTGGGTCTGTTTCATTTAATGAACAGGAAAAGTTTTAGCCTCAGGCTATCAATACATCTAAGGCTGCAGTGGACCCACAGTTTGTTTATGATGGATGTTTTGCCTGGGGTAAAACAGGCATCAGCTGTTGATTTCTTCTGAGTTCGTTGAACAGGCTGAGATTTAGGCAAAATTTTAGACTCTTCAAACATAATCAGGAAGATGTCTCTTAGGTGTCTCTCTAATCTCTGTCTCTTAATGTGTTCAGGAAATTTTTAAATTTTCTTTCTCATACTTGACAATTCCCATTCCCTTCTGATAACTAACTAGAAGGGAAAGAAAGTGCGCCCTAACACTAAGACCAGTGATAGCACTCAATAAATCATCCCTGTTTCAATGATTCATTTCCAAGTCTTCTTGATCCCCTTCAATAATATTACATCACATTTGTGCAACTGAAGTACTAACTAAGTATTATTTATAGAGCATTTATAATGTGCCATGTTTGGGGTTTCACATTTTCATTCATTAATTCACTTAAGCCTCGTAAGTATGCTATGTGGTAGATACCATTAATATCCCAGTTTATAGATATCTATGTGGGGACTGCAAGATGGAAGTCCTTCCCTAAGCCCAGGACTCTTTTCCACCACACCTGAGTAAGAGGCCTAAACTTCCCTCCAAGATTGGCAAATGGACTTTTACAGAAAAATCTTCTAAGCAGATACTCAAATAGTCATGCAAACTAGTATTTTTCATAATAGCTCATTTAACCACGTAGAAAATATGAATCTCAGTCCATACATGCTGATGTACAAAATTATAACGTTAGGCCCACACATGGTGGTGCAGTGGTGAGGTAACACTCTGCAGTGCTGGAAGCCATGTGGAAGACCAGGATTCCGAAGCTGACGTGTTTGTTTGCACATGCCTACGATCTTGGCAGCCGAAAGATGGGGTGAGGGCATCACAGATGAGTCCCTGCTGAGGGTGCTTCTCTTTTTCTCTCTGTCTGAGTCTCTTTACTTCTGAAATAAGTAAAAGTCTTTTATTTTTATTTTAACTTTATTTTCTATAACTCAACTTAGTTTCTACTTTACATCCTCCCTCTGCTGGGATGGTGGAAGCACTGTTTCCTGACCTGCTCACTTGGATGGGCCACGATTCTGGAATGATACCCAGTGCCAGGCACCCAGACCGCTGCCCAGGAAGCTCTTTGTGTCCCACCACTTTGCTGCTCCAGTGAGGTTTTGGAGAGTTGCCAAAGGCTGCACCCTGACTGTCTCTGCAGGGGTCTGACACAGGGTACAGATCTCTCTGCTCTTGTGAATGCTCACCCTCTCCCCAACCTGGACAAGATAGAGGTTCTTTTTTTTCTTTTTTCCAGTCTTTGAAAAATTATACTTTCCTTCAGTTTCTGGTCAGAAATTGATCAGTATTTTACAATAATCTCCTGCCACAGCATAACCAACGAGTTATGCTTTTGTAAATAAACATTTAAAATGTTAATGATTTCTTCCATACACTGCACTCTACAACTCTGTGATTAAAATAGGATCATCTTACACGTGGTGGCCAGGCCCATTTCATCAGACTGATCAGATTACTTCTGAGCTCAAACTTCTCTAGAGGATCCCTCTTGTCTCCTGCCCACTCTGTTTTCAGTTCCTCACCATGGGCAGTCACAGTATTGCCCTGTTATAATGCCTAACTTCCTTCCCTGTGCCTCTCCAAGTTTGCCAAACTATTACCATAACCATTGGGTACATGCAGCACCATCCCTCAAACTATTTTAGCATACTTCCTGCAACCACCTTACCTGGTTTCCCTTTAGATTTGAAGAATATATTGCTATGGGGGAAAATAAATCACATGTGCTAGGAGGACAAAGGTTAACTAACATGTCCAGGTTTCTTTGCTTTGCACTGAAATTGTATCATCTCAATGTAGTTACATGGCGCATGGCAGGATGATGGATGGCTGGCTGGGTCCTAGACCAAGGAAAAGTGAGAAAGAAAACGCTTTGTTAGATGCAATTTTGTCTGGTAGAAAAAAATAGCAGGTCTATGGTGCTTATGGCGCTGGATTCCCACATGAACAACCACAGTTCAAGCCCCAGATCTGGTCACTTGAAAATCACACTGGACGCAGGAACATGCATGCCCAAAATTCCACGTGGAGGATGGAAAAGGGATTGTGACATGGCCATCCACCCTGGGGAGAGATTTGTCATCTTCCCTCTTTCTGTCTTTCTCCAGCAAGTGCACATATCCCATGGCAAAAACCTAAAATAATTTTAAAAAGAGAGACTTATTGAGATTAAAAGTTATAAAAAGTGATTTTAAGAGTGAAAGGTGATTGGGGCCAACAGGTGGTATGGTGGTTAAGGTTTGATATCCAGACGTGGAGGTTTGCTCTCTTTCTCTCTTCTTTCTTTCTCTCTCTCTCTTTCTCTGGTGAGCACACATGCCCTGTATCAAACCAAAACATAATAAAATTAAATAAATAATTGTAAAAATAAAAAAAGAGTGAAAAATGGCTAGACAGTAGCACAGTAAAATGGAACACTTTGACAGGTTGACCCATGCGAGATGCTTCCAGGTTCATGTCCAAAGATCACCTTGAGTATGCCGGGCACAAGTGTGCCCATGATCTGGGACTGGCTAAAGCTGGGAATGAACTGTGGGGTCAAGACCTTGTTGGGGATGCTGACTCTCTCTGTGTCTCTCACTTATGGAAAAATTACCTTCTTAAAAATATTTTTTAAAAAAGTGGAAACCATTCGGTATGGTATACTCTTTCATCTTTGTATCTATTTTTAAGAGCGAGAGTATTGCTATAAGATGTATGTGCTCACTGGAGAGACAGAGAGAGATAAAGTGAGAAATCACTCCCAGGAGGGATGGGCACAGCAATCCCTTCTCCTCTATTCCTCTCTCAGGATTTGGGGCACACGTGCACATGTGTTCAGCATGAGTTTCAAGCCACGAGGTCCAGGACTTGAACCATGGCCAACCACATGGAGTCCAGCACCTTAACCACTATGTCATCTGCTGACACCACTCTTTCATCTTACATCTGAGGAAATCCTTTCTACCTCACCTCTACCCACTCCCACAAGTTTCCTCTTATCTCAATGAAAGATGGTACTTTTTACACTCTACACCTGTGGAAAGCCCATAGCTATAGAACGAATGTGTTCCCACCAAATTCATATGCCAAATCCTAACCCTCTATGTGATATTATTTAGGGGTACATAGGTCATGAGGGTAGAGCTGTCATGAGAACATTAATGAGATTATTGCCCTTATAAAAGAGGACCCAGCAAGTTTCTTTGCCTCTGCCACCATGTGAGGACTTGGCAAGAAGATGGCTGTCTCCGAATCAGAAAGTGGGATCTTCATCAGCCACTGAGACTGCTAGCACTTGGATCTTGGACTTCCAGCCTCCAGAACTGTGAGAATCAAATGTTTTTTTGTTTATAAGCACACACAATTTATGGTATTTTGTATAGTAACCCAATTTATCCTTGCTGAGAAGCTTATAAAACTTATAGGGGGGGACCAGCAGTTAGTGTAATGGCTATGTCACTGGACTCCCATGTAGTCAACCATGGTTCACATCCTGGACCCAGTGGCTTAAACTCACACTGGGCGCGTGTGCGTACATGCCCAAGATCCTGAGAGGAGAATGGAGGAGAAGGGATTGCAGCGTGGCCCTCTCCCCTGGGGGGTGATCTCTCGCTTTCTGTCTCTCTGTCTCTATCTGTCTGGCAAGCGCACGCGCCCTATAGCAAAAACCTCTCTAAAAAACAAAAACAACAAAAAAATCTTATGGGGGACCAGCAGATGGTGTAATGGTTATGTCACTGGACTCCCATGTAGTTGACCACAGTTCAAGTCCTGGACCCAGTGGTTTAAACTCACATCAGGTGCATGTGCATTTGTGCCCAAGATCCCGAGAAGAGAGTAGAGAAGAAGGGATTGCAGCATGGCCATCCTCCTTGGGGGGTGAATTCTCACTTCCTGTCTCTCTGTGTCTTTCTGGTGAGCACACACACCCTTATAGTAAAAAACTAAAAAAAAAAAAAAAAAAAAAAAAAAAAAACTCATAGGCATGGGCTAGCAGGTGGTATAGTAGTTAGGTGTTAGACTCATACATAGCTGACTGCAGTTTGAATTTCAGACCTGGAGGCTTCCTTTCTCACTTTCTCTCTCTTGCTCTCTTTTTTTTTTGTTTCTCTCTGGTGAGTATACATGCCCTACAACAAATTTTTAAAAAATAATAAATAAATAAAATTAAATAGAGAATTCTTTTTAAAAAAAAAAAAACTCATAAGCATAATTGACAATCAACAAACGTATTGAATATGTGAATGTGACAAATCACACCAAAAAAGACACTGACCAAGACACAAAGAAAGAAGGAAAGGTTTCCAAATCACATCTTTCTAGGTTTCACTCTTCAGATTTTCCCCAGTGAAGCACCATATTAGTGAATTCCTCTGAAAAACTCTAAGTACATAGTTTTTATGGGTGTTCTTACTTATTGTTCATTCTTGAATGTGTTAAAAATAAAATTGCTTTCTCTAAGTACTGAAAGGGTCCCTTGAAATGCACCATCTTTTTGAGTGGCTAGAGAACAGTTTTCCTTCAGACCAGAATCTAAAACTGAGTGGGATGTCTCTGGGTGTGAAGCAAGATTAGTATTTTCTTGGCCTTAACCATGAAGAAGTGAAAGTGTCAAGACAATACTGACACTGGGAAAACCAGTCTTGTATCAGGGAATAGAGAAAGTGCCCTCCATGGAGACAGTGTGGGAACATAACTGTCAGGAGGACATAGCAAAATGGCTCAAGCCTGGGAATTCCCAAAGAGCACGTGTGAGGGCTTTCTACCTTGGCTATGGCTGTGTGGAGAAGAGATGGCAGGAGCTTCGGCAGCTCCCATGGAGCTACGAGGAACTGGGAATCCCCAAATATCTGGCATTTCCCCAAATTCTCAACCCAGTATATAAATCTGAGTTTCTGGGTTCATTTCTTCCCTTTGCAGACCTCCATCTTGCTATTGCATGCTATTCGTTGCTGGGAGTCTATCTACTCATCTAAAGAAGAGTCAGACAAACACAAGAAGTAGAAATTCAATGCTTCCTTGAGACTCTGGCTTCAGAGCCTATAAGGGAGGCTGCAGCATCACTGGTGAATGAAGACATAGCAACAAGACACCACTGGTGCCACTGGCTCCACAGTTTCCAGTGGCAGAGAACAAAAAGAAAATGGTAACCCTCGAAGTCATGGGGACCTGATTGAGTATGCACAGTGGGCAGAGTCTGGCAGAGCCTTGGGGCCTCTTTTCCTGGAGATCTAAGTCTTAACTATTATTCCAAAAATAGGATCTAAAAGCCAGAGGGCTCCCAAGTGAAGTGGAGATTTAATTTAGATAAAGCGTGCAAAAGGAAGCATGGAATCAGAACCGACAGTAGATAAAGGGCTAGGATGTTTCTTGCAATATGTGATTTGGACTCTAAATGAAAGAAAATTATTCTCCACCACATCAGATTATCAAAGTCACCCATCATATCCCTAACCACAGGTGCCCACTGTTACAGGGCCGCTACCTCCACTAGAACCAAGAGTCTGATTCTCAGGCTGTAGGTAAGTGGACAAGTGCTACTATCAATAGAAGGCAAGAAAAACTTGCGTCTGATCTTTCTGGTACTGAATGACTACGTGGACCCACATCATTAAGGTCCTTCCTTCAAATTGGCTTGTTGATTTGGGCCATGAGCGTAACTGGATGAACATGATTCCTTAACAAATATGTTGACATGGGTCTCACATTAGATATCACTTGGGGCAGCCACTTCTTCTTTTAGCTCATTTATTACAGTTTATTGTACTCATTTACATTTTATTGTATTCTCCTTAAATATACTCCCAAAATATATTTATTGTTACTAGATTGCAAACCCAATGCCAACTCCTTTAGATGAATTATCTCATCTACACATCACCTATGTGAAGTAGTTGCTATATTTATCTCCTTTTTTTTGAAGATGAAGAATCTCAAGTTCAGGAACTTTGGGTAATTAGCTCCAAAATGGGGATTCAAACCCTGGCCATCTGATTTTTTTTTTAAGAATTATTTATTTTAACTTTATTTATTATAATTATGATTATTTTAATTTACTATAGGGCACATGTGCTCACCAGAGAGAAACAGAGAGAGAGAGAAAGTGAGAAAGCAAGCTGTTAGATCTAGGATTCAAACTACAGTCAGCCATGTGGGAGTCCAGTGCCTAACCACACCACCTCTGGCCCTGACCATTTGATTATTTATTTATTTATTTATTTATTTATTTATTTTAGAGGTTTTAGCTATGGGTGTGTGCACTCGCCAGAAAGACAGAGAGAGACAGAGAGACAGAAAGAGAGAAATCACCCCCCCATGAGGGATAGCCACGCCGCAATCCCTTCTCCTCCATTCTCTTCTCGGGGTCTTGGGCACACATGCACATGTGCCTTGCGTGAGTTTAAGCCACCGGGTCTAGGACTTGAACCGCGGTAGGATACATGGGAGTTCAGTGACATAGCCATTACACTCACTGCTGACCCCTTGATTCTTTTTTTTTTTTTTTTTTTGGCCCCTTGATTCTTGAGTCTAAGCTCTGATCCTATACTACCTCTCTAGACTATAAGCACAAAGGCAGGAACAGTTTCATTCATTCATCTGTTCAATAAATATTTATTGAGCAACTACTACAGACTAGTCTAAGTTAGAGTGAAATGCAAAAGAAGGGGATTCTACTTGCTGGAGGTGAGGTTTTATTCTCAGTACAACAGTGAGCTAATGTCTCCTTTACCACTGTAACTACAACAACTAGTGATACATTCAAGGTACAAGTTAATAGTCACTAAATAAAATACTCATTTCATAAAAAAGTGAGAAAGTGAACAATACCAGGTTCAAGGAGCTCTAAGCTCTAAGGAAG